TCCCCCTCCTCTCTGCTCTTTCAAGACAGGGGGAGCTGGGTTTGTTGGGGTGGTTCCAACTTGGATATATCCATTATTCCAAACAATAAGGACTATATTTCTGTCTGTTTTATTAACGAATATTGCTGAGGTCGAGCAGACTGTCCAATCGATAATTTTAAGAGCTTGGGTGAAGTCTGAAAGCTGTGGTGTCTTTTTCTCGATGGGTAAGAGTCTATTACGGACTTTGGCGATTTATCTGATATGATATTCAAATAACTTTGGTTCCACATTAACAAATAAAACAGGAAAGCAAGGCTAAATTCAATCAAAACTGAAGAACAGTGTCAGATGCCCTATGTTTCCACATAAAGGCAGGAGATGTTGGAGTCCGGTTTGTGGAGTGGGTTGTCTAAGAGCAAAAACAAGATATTGGGATCAATTTATCATGCCTTTTTACAATGTAATTGTTTTATGACACTGCGTCAATTGCCCCTTTATGGGATGATAAGACAGACTCTGCATAACATATGCTACTGGTATCATAATTCTCAACGATGGCACCATGATTTGTCGTCTGCCATAGACACACTCAGACACACACACCCAAAACAAACAAATGCACACATGCACACATTTATGGACAAAAACCGTATTGAAAACAGGCACACATCCCTTTCAAAAGATGTTCAGACCTTTCAAACATTTCTTCGAAGATGCCTAGGGAAATATCTTCCAACTGACTTGTTACTTAAAAAGCCATTTAAGATATTATTAATGAAAACTGATAGAAACACAGCTGACTTTGAGCATATGTTTGGATCAAGGATCCACAGAATGAAAATATTTAAAATGTCTTGAGTGCTTCAGTCTGCAGATCTTCTGCTGTAATAAATGACTGAGTGCACTTTGTGAGTTTGGCCAGATAAATGGCACTGTTCAGGGCACTGAAACAACTACACCAGACTGGAGAGCTGTGTGACTCTGAGATGAGGCCAGCCACTCCGGTCTGGCCCATATTAATTGCTAAAGCAACCAGTACAAAGACTGTTAGAGACAGTTGAAGAACACCTGCTGAGTAGTGATCTGGGCTTCCCCACTATATTGACTCTGATAAGACAACACGCAAGCAAATAGAATAATGCAGAGAACGGGCAGCATGAGTAAAACTTGTCAAACAAGCCTGATTCACATGAACCTCAAGCAAATCTAGGTTTCCTATCAAAGAAAATGATCTGCTATCAGCTATCTGCACATCTACACATCAATATGATTACCAAATACACTGATTGCAAATATTAGCTGATTGTTATGCAATAAAAAGTTTGAGTGAACAAGAAAAACAAGCAACGGAGGGACATGATATGGAGCTGCCGGGCTCTGATATAAATATACATTTTCAGATTAATTGTGATCTTCTTTTGAATCTATGACACTGAGTTTATGACTGAAGTGCTCAAGAGTTTATTGATTTATATATATATATTTTTACACACTGACATTGTAAGGGTTTTACACAAGAAATAACATTTAAAATTTACTTAATTTCACAGAGCAGAGAGTTCGGAGTTGTGTTGATTTTTATATTTGTTAAATAAGCAGCATACTTATTTACTGCCATGCAACTGCTGCTAATTTTTTTAATAAATGTACCAAATAAATGTTGTTTTTCATAATGTACCTTTTCTGTAAATTACAGAATCAGCTGAGAGAACTCCTTTCATATGCAAGCAAAATGAACATTTAAACTGAAATATACCAAAATGAATCAGAATCAAATTTAATCAAAATCAGACTCAAATTAATATTTTTCAGTTAATTATGTGCATCATTCAGGTATCTGAAGTGCACTTATTTATGGAATTTTCAGTGTGCACACACTAAGTCCTCTATTTATGTTAAAAAAAAGCATAGAATTGTGCATAACTACACAATTCAGGGAACACCTTAAATTTGTATTGATACCTAGCCTTATCTTTGAGTTTGTTCCATAGCTTTGGACCATTTTTTCCATTCACCTACTGTGCGCCATGCTGTCCAGCTTTAGTAGTTCTCGAACATCTGGACATCTCTGTATACTCTGTCTTTACATATTCAAAACATGTGTCTTACTATTCAGATCTGAGCCATGTACCACTATGCTGTGTAATGAACTCTGGGAAGTAATAGCCCTGCATTATCGACGGGCCCTAAGGGAGTCGTCAGCAGTTAAATTTGTGTAATTTATTGATCGGCATGATTTACTGATTGATCCAACGAATGGTGATGGATAAGTAAAAAAGATGAGGAGGGTCAGTGATTTATGATGGTCAGAGAATAAAGACAAGCAATTAGGCTGACAAGAAGTCAAATTTTGATGGGCAACATTTTGAAAGGGTCAGCAAATATCCTGTTAGCTAAAACTGACTGGAGAACATGCATGATTTGGTTGAAACCTCTTACCTGGTTGAAGTTTTTCTCCTCTGATCCTGGAAAGTGACTGAGCTTCCTCGTGTATCCCTTCTGCATGAAATCCCTGAAGAAGTTATTGATGTCTGTGATGGAGATAAGGCAAACGGCAGAGCTGGCCGTGGGCTCAGGTGAGTCGGGTTTGCTTCGGGCAAAGGCAGCAAACAGCACGTCCTCTCCTTCTTTCAGGCCCATCTCCTGCTGAAAGTCATAGCCGACTTTGGCCACATGCGCAGCCTGGAGAACATTGAAAACCACCTGAACCGAGCGCTTCTTTCTTCTTCGCTCGGAGTAAATGCACTCGAAGGGCATTTCAACGTAGCGCAAGATCTCAGGATCTGAAGAACACATGCGTATGATTCTCGTGTGGAAGGCATTTAAGCTGCCACCTTCTCGTTGGACAGTGAGAAAATACACGTATGGGCCGCTCTGGAAGGAGTAGACGTAGCGCAGCGGGTAGTTCCCACGCAGCCCTGGGGCCAAGTCCATGTAGGATTGTTCAGAAAAGAATTCAAAGCCGTCTTGAGTCTCTCGCATCTTCCTAACAGAAATGGTGTGGTGGAGACGCGGCACGGTCGAGTCAAGTGGCTCAGAGTTTGCAACGAAGAACCTCACAACGCCGCTGCTCATCACGTTAAGGATCTGAGTGCCCGAAGGACCTGCCAGGCAGTCTGGGCAACCATGGCTGCTGTCTTTGTTCTTCTTCGAATACATGCAAGTAATTTCCGCATCCAGGGGTCCATCCTCTAACAGGTAACGACGGCAGACGCCGTTCCCAACTGAACCACAGCTGAAGAGCTCAAGATCATAGAAAGTCTCCACCAATAGGGCCATATTGGTGTTGTTCATGTTGAGGGGTTTGTTTTTGCAACCACTGCATGGATCTGGTGCACTGCAGTCTTGACCCTCATGAACTGGTCCGGTATTATATTCATGTATCTTCTTGAGGTCTTTCGACAGGGCGTAAAGCTTGTCGACAGCACCTACATACACAGTTCCATTGAATTCCAACAGCTTCTGTATGGGAGTGTCAGACACAAAGTGAGGGAGGTCATAGGTCACAGAGAGGTCGAGTTTGGAGCTTTCTATTGGTTCCTCACATTGACTATTCAAGCCCCACCACAGCGTCTGAAGGATGATGAGGATGGAAATATCTTCAGAATATTGAATTCTCATCTTTGTTCTTCTGCAGAGTAAAAAGACAACATGTATTTAGCATATTAACCATGTAAACTTTGATATATGAAATAATGGTCAGAATTTTTTTCTTTTTCAAATGGAACAGTTTATTGAATCTTTAGACAATATTAAAAAAAAACTTTGCATAAGTGCTTTATGTTTCGTATCATATTTCATACACCATGCTTTTATGGCTCATATTATAGTGAGAATATGGAGCTCATACTTGGGGAGTAAAAAAAACATTAATTTTATTCAGATGCCCAAACGGAGCAAAAATATGCAATTTAGTGCAGCTGCTGTTATTTATATGAACAAAAAGTAAGATTTCTGAAAGAAATTCTGAGAAATTCTTGTACTGTAAATCAATTAGCTTGTAATGTAATGTAAATGTAATCTTGAAATATTTCTAACAAAATAAATGTTTTTCTTACATTATGAAACTCATTAAAGTTTTTACAGCAAAAAGACAGATGTACCATGACCTGAAGATGGACATTTTAAAACTACTTGTATGCAACAAGGTTTGATTATCATCTTAATCATCAAATTTGTGGAATTAAAACAAGGCATATTTTGAAAGACTTCTGTAGTACCCATTAGTGCACAAAACAGAAAGACACAAAACCTTTATGAACCAAGACAAGCTACTCAGAACAAATGACACTTGTAAATCACAGCCACACGCACTGCAACAACAATGATATCACTAGTTTCCTTGCATTGTAGAAGCCTCAATAATTCACCACTCACTGTGTATGACAAAGCCATGGATAAAAGAAAGAGGGCAACTCTAAACGGTCCTTGTGCCTCTGACTTAGACAGCACTTTTGTGGCGGTGTACCAGAGGAGGCGAATCATCAAAGAGTCAGCCTACACTGAGTGCACTGCGGTGACAAGTCTAACTTTAGACAGCGTTCTCAAGGGAGTGGTTGATAAACTCAATTAAGCCTGGTAGGCTGCGGAAGCCGGAGAAGTGATTTATTGTTGGTGTACTTAAACGCTACTCCTCTAGGAGGTTGCTTTTAAGGTTGAGAGGGAGAGAGCGGCAGAGCTAGAGAATATGGGATTCACCCTTACTGTTATCCAAGCAATTTAAGTGCGCTGAGCAGCACTATAGGTCACTGCAAACTCTGAGTAAAACAATGAGAGAGACTGAAGAACTGTTGCACTTGCTGTCATTCTAGAAAGATTCAGTCAATATATTTAGCTGTTTACCTACATACAGCATCTACTCTTTAAAACACCTGATTGATAAACAGACTTTCACATTGTCTTTCATTTTCATTACATGCACTTCTAAAGGTAAACACTTAAGTAAAGTACAGCAACTTGGCACACTAAGGGTCCTCACTCACAGTCCTTAAAAGCTGTTTTCTTGGATGTCCCTTGAAAGGCAGGAACATAACTCGGAAAAAGTTTATTAATTAACACACTGGGATTCATATAATACATTTCCATGTTGTTCTTATATATATATATATATATATAAATGCATTTACTTTTTTTTAATTTATTTTTTTAGTTTTACCGTTTGCATCTCCTATGAAACTGAGCATGTAAAAGATATGAACATTTACCTCAAGATAAACATGGTGAGTTTTATGCCAAGTTCTCTGCAGACCTATTTATCCATATTTTTCTCAGAAATTAAGCCCACTCACTTACAGTCAAATCTGTCAAATGGATGCATGCATCCCCCGAAAAAAAACATTTAAAGGTGTTTAGAGATAAACGGGCCTACATTTCCAAACATTACCTTACTAAACTGAACAACTGAACAAAAACCAAACAAAAGCTTTTCTTACCTGAGTTTCATGGAAACCTACAGATTTAGAATGACTCATACTGTCAACAGCTAAACGCACAGCTTCCTCACAAGTCTATGAAAACACTTCAACTAAAATGCTTAGCAAAAACAAGTATATTTCTGTTGCTAGTGTATAGATGTATAAAAAGTAAGCTAGTGCAGTGGAATAGTTCGCAACAACTCAAAATTTGGTGACATAATTTCCCAAAGGAATAACCTTCAGTAGTGTTGTCACACTCTAAATGCTCAGAAATAAAACAAACGCTCACTCACCTGTAAAATAAAGACACCTATCGGAGGCAGAAAGGGAAAATAATCACATCTTTTAACGGTCCGTTTTCGCACTGTTTCTGGCGGATGCCTGCAGTCTCGAGATGCGGCGGTGAGTTTCTGCGCGTTTTCTGCTAAAAAGTTGCCCTCTCTCTCTCTCTAACTTCGTCTTTGTTTCCAAATGCAATGACTTCAGTTTTTTTCCTTGTTTAACTGAAGAAAGTTCTCGCACATCCAACTGTTAATTTCATCAATGCATTGGCAGAGGGAGTCAATGGGGCTGTAGTCATTTGGAGATAAGGCTAGGTAAATCTGGGTATCATCTGCATAGCTGTGATAGGCGATTTGGTTCTTTCTCATTATTTGACTTAGTGGAAGGGAGGAAGCTTATCATGATATCATGGAAAAAAAACATAGTTTTGAAACGATTTGGCCAACGTGTCATTTTAACGATAGATTTGTGGTAATGTGATAATGTTTTTTTTTTTTTGTCACCCACAAAGTTTCAGCCACAAAGTTTATATAGGCTACAGAACAGCTATTTAAGGTGTCTTATCGCCACCTAGTGGTGACCTAGTCCTGGTTCTGGTGTTCCAGGTTTATAAACTCGTCAATAAAAGGTGTGATCTGGTGTCTGACACAGAGTGAGTGGAGGGAGGACACCACAGATAATGTACAAAACTGAGCCCTATAGATTTACTACCCACTCTTAGTCTCAGCTTTTGTTTATGACCTTAAGGTCAATAAAATCCAGGTTAGTGCTGACCTGTTCATTCTGCTACTGTAAAACCTCATTGCCGACTGATCACTTAAACCTGCCACGGTTCATTTGGAAAAGGGCTCTTAACTGTTGTGCACATCAGCAGCTGTAATTTAACTATCCTCTTGACATCAATATATGTTGTGAGGAATGACTGCTGACCTGCAGCGATTGATCATTTTATTGCAGTTTATGATTTCTAATGCCTTAAAGAAATACACACATGACTTTCAGAAAATTAAGATGCCGTTTTACCAGTCACACTTTAGATCTGAATCAAATGTATTTAAATCAGAAAAGAAAATAAGTCACCGTATCTCTTGCAGAAAGCAGCCTGGACTTATATTCCTCCACCCTGGGCAGTCTCAAAACTATAATATATTGAAAATTGGATTTGACAGTGTTATTCAAGGAAAGTTTTAAAAGGGTAAACACAGAGCTGCATTTTAAAAACTTTACTTTTAGAGATACATTCAAACCAGTTTTACAGCACTTAAGCTGATTAGTTCACCCAGCTGGCATTGTTTTCCTCTGGGTCACATGATCGCTCTCAACTCCATTTCAGATTCATTTCATAATCATAATAATATTGATTTTAAAACCTGGTCTGTGGTAGACAACACAACAGGCTTTGTGATTTATTCAAATCAAATAATCTTGTTTTTTTTTTATTTTAATTTTTTATATATATATAGAGAATATAATTAAGTGCAAACTGAATGCAATGTTTTCAGACACTTAATTGCAATCGAATTTACCATTGAATGAAAATGTATTATAGTTTAAATTTATATTAAATGAAATTAGTTGAGCTTAAGAGTGCTTTTTTTACCCAAGTACATCGTTATAATATAATCACTTCTATTGTCTTTGAAATATGGATTAACTGTCGAATGTACTGACAAGCATTTATGGTAAACTAAAATATACTGTAATGTCATTTCTATTGAAACTTGTATGTCATATATTTAAATATTGTATATTTGTAATGACACCTTTGTAATGATGAAGTTGCAATTTAGTACATTTAAAAAAGATTAACTTTAAATGTAACATCCAATAACATTTAACGTTATCATCAATTTTTTAAAATATACTTTTAAGATTTGAAGTAAACATTCAGTACAATTGAGTGTACTTTGGTTCACAAGCATAGTTTTTTTCAAAACATATTATTTTTTAGAAGGTGGTTATTGATATTGTTTTAATCCATGTGCATTTGATTATCTTCTTGTTGTAATAATCCTCTTGTATATTGTTATTGTTTTATAAACCTTGCTTGTGTAGCACTTTGGTCAGCATTTGCCTTTTTAAATGTGCTATATAAATAAACTAAACTAAGAGAAAACTTAGATTTTTCCCTCATTCACTCAGCATAGTTGGTCATCATTCTTTATCCCAGGAGGTCACTAAAATCTCTCCTTTGTCCACTCAGCAGGTCATTGTCCTGAAAACCTTTGCAAAACAAACCAATTCCACCTCAGATTCAATAAACACAGTTATCCCAAAAAGACAACATGGACAAATACATTTATTTCCTTTAAAACAATTGAAATTTGGACAAAAAATTGAGGGCATTTCCCTGATTAAAATTTTCCATGCAGCTGAATATACAATGAGACAGGAGGTACGCTGTTTTTTTTCGTGTGTTTGTTTCTACGGTGACGATCATTCAACTGGGTGCTGCCAGTGGAAATGAACACC